ACACATACCAATATCTACCACATTTAGAACTGACAACTGGAGACTACACATACCAATATCTACCACAGTTAGAACTGACAACTAGAGACCACACATACCAATATCTACCCCAGTTAGAACTGACAACTAGAGACTACACATACCAATATCTACCACAGTTAGAACTGACAACTGGAGACTACACATACCAATATCTACCCCAGTTAGAACTGCCAACTAGAGACTACACATACCAATATCTCCCACAGCAGGGACTGACAACTGGAGACTTCACATTCCAATATCTACCACAGTAGGAACTGACAATTAGAGACCACACATACCAATATCTCTGACAACTAGAGACTACACATACCAATGTCTACCACAGTAGGAACTGACAATTAGAGACCACACATACCAATATCTCCCACAGCAGGGACTGACAACTGGAGACTACACATACCAAGATCTACCGCAGTTAGAACTGACAACTGGAGACCACACCTACCAATATCTACCACAGTTGGAGCTGACAACTGGAGACAAAACATACCTGTATCTAACACAATAAAACTTACAACTTGAGAACACACATACCAATAATTACCACATTAGAAACTGACAACTGGAGCCCACACATACCAATATCTACAACAGCAGGCAGTGACAACTCGACACCACACATACCAATATCTACAACAGCAGGGAGTGACAACTGTCCTTGTTGCCATGTATAGGTTTCTTAACTTAAGGAAATTTCGATATGGAAGCATTATTGGTGTTAAGGGAATTTTTGTTAAATTCAGTAATGCTTTTGCACGTGTTTATAAACCTATGGTTGAATAAGTCTTAGGTGGATGTGGAAATTATTTATTTATTTGGTCCCTATACCGTTTGTGTGTTTAAACGTGTATGAACTTGATTGAAATTACTCTCACTCTTTAGTGAATTATAAGAAAAAAATTATATGATACTACGACTTTATCATATGAAGCCTGTTTCTTTAGCTCAAATATTTTAATTAATTTGACATGATGTCTTAAAATGAACTGTACATTACAGGGTGGGGCTAGAGGAGGTTCAATATGTGTAAATGGAAAAAAAACGACGCTCCTCGAAAGAAATTGGTATGCTCGGGGTTTGTGAAGACCCAGATCTGATTAATTCTGCAGTGTATTTCCATGAAAACTTCGACTAAAAAAGATTTCAGTTAAATTTGGCGCACACATGTGCTGACCAAATGTATAGGAGTTATGTCCCTTTATTCACAATTCAGGGATTTTAACTGAACAGCAGAGTTCAATGTTTCTATTTTGTTGAGGTCAGCTTTAAGCTCTGGCTTCGGTCAAAGGTTAACATAAGCTATATTGAAGCAAGGCAAAAAAAAAAGCTTTTAAAATCTTTAGGGCCAGTATTCATGAAGCGGTTATCGTGCTCAAACATGAATTCCTGTGCTCAAGCCTATTTGTTTAATCTGATAATAAATTAATGAAAGTTCACATTTTTTCCATGATTTGGAAGAAGTTTTGAAAGACTTGAAGCCAAATACCGTTTCAAACGTTTACACTTAATTTGTTTATCGTGTCACATGTATTAAACTAATTTCAAGAAAGTTGGTTTGAGCGCAGAATCTATGCTTTGAGCGTAAGAATGGTTTCATGAATACAGAAAATACTGACTCAACTTTATGCTTTACTGAAACCCATCTTGATAATTCTGTTCCCAATTCTTAACTTAAAATTGATGGTTTATCCGAACCATTTCGTAAAGATAGAAACATGTTCGGTGGTGGGGTTGCTATGTATTTTTCTGAATCACTCACAGCCAAGCGTAAAAAAACGATCTTGAAATTGGTAGCGATGAAACGATATGGTCCCAAATTAAATTTCAAAAAATACATTATATTT